TTTTGGTGACCTGACCTGACCTGACCTTGACCTTGACCTCTGAATGATATTGTATGCAACGAATATTGTCTTGGTAGCCTAAGAGCACGTTTTGGGCGATCAGTCTCAGTCCATGACTCCATTCTTCGGCAACTACGGTGCAAGGCCGATACTGTAGGAACTTGCAATTTGTTCCCTTGACCTGACCTTGACCTTGACCTCGAACTTAAAATTAAGTACATGTTTTTAGTTGTTCGTGATGAGATCTTTCGATTGGCGTTTGAGTTTTCCAAATCGGACCATTAGTTCGGGAGATAACAGGGGGGGGGTAAAATTTACCCCCCCCCCCCAGCCCCGCGCGTTCGGCTGGAGACCCCAGCCCCGCGCGGGTTAATGAACGGCACCAAAAAAGAATATTCACCGTTCAGCCGTCAAAACCTGGCATCAAAAGCCCCATTTGATGCCAGGTTGCCCCCCCCCCCTCCCTCATGACAAGTTTTACGTCGTTCAGAAGGCCTCTTCACAGAAGGGCTATGACGGAACTTTGCTCCGTTGTGATTTTACGCGTCACGCACACGAGTGATTGGCGCCCACTAAGGCAGACCAATGAGCGCCCGGCCGGCTGGTGAACCCAAGCGGCGCCGGTATCCGCCTGAGGCGGGGGACGGGGTCAAGGCGAGCGATACGAGCAGGACCTTTGGCCGGCCTCCACCTGTTTTCACCCAGTTGTCAGCCGCTGGTGCCTGCGTCATATAGCAGATTTCCTCCTACCGCCGGCGTAGAATCGTGTTACAGCGTACTTTTATGATACAGGCCATGACCTCACTGCTGGGGTCCTCAAACTGAAGGGAATAGTTCGCCGAGCCGCCGCAGCCCATGACGCGATACTTCCAAGAGAGACTATACATAAGTGGGACAAAAATATTAAAAATAACAACACACGTGCTGGTATCATTCACGTGTTGTATTTTGCTTTTTTTCTAGCATGGTACGTCTAAGCCAATCATTACTACCGTTCAACAACGGCAAAAAAGCAAAAACGTCTTACTTAATTCAACATAAGATTGCTGGCTTGAAGATGATGGTACAGTGTTATAATTTGGCATATCAATGCGCAAAGAAGTGACGCAAACTTGGTGAAAATTTTGGCTCGTTATTTGCACTCGAATTTGAGATACAGGCCTCCAAAGTTCGGAACGTTTTTTTTTTTTTTTGGCCACCCGGTATTCTCTTAGTCACTGAATTGAGTAAGCATAGTATTTGCATGATTCACTGGGCTCATTACAGTACTAGGAGATGGACATTCTGATTATTGAGGGCCTTGAGTCAGCTGGGAATGTTTTGAGGAGGCTGGGGGTGCTTTAAGAAGGCAGGGGGTGCTGAGCTCAGGATTGGGGGTGCTTGAGCACCCACAAAGAGATATAAAGTTACGCTTATGAAATAGCTTTAGCGTTTGTCCCCTCACCTTAAAAATCAGTTGTGCCCGGATAAGGCCTGAGACCGCTATTGCACCCAGTGATTGGCAATGAAGACACGGGGTAAAAGCAGCTAAGGCTAGGCGCAATGGGGGTATGGGTACCATCATTCGAACAGCAATTAATTGCTGTTTGATTATCTACTGGGGCATTAACGTAATATTCAAATTTGACTGAGTTGTAAGCATTGAAATATAGTAAAAGTGTATGTTATATCGACCGATAACGAAAACAATCGCGTCAAAAGTAGCATAAGCCATCACTGACTTGTGACTAATATGCATTTTTAGAAAGCTTTCTTTGTGGGCTTTCGTATTCTGGTGGGGCATTTATCGATGGTGTCATTTATTCATTAATTTTATTAGTTAATTATGGTGATACCACAATTTTGCCTAGTGCTTGCTTATCAAGACACGAGAAAAAAGTAGCTTAGGGTAGGCACCATTGAGGCATGCGTAACATCATTCGAACGGCAATTAATTGATGTTTAATTATCTACTGGGGCATTAACGTAACATTCAAATTTGACTGAGTTGTACGCATTGAAATATAGAAAAAGTGTATGTTATATCGACCGATAACGAAAACAATCGCGTCAAAAGTAGCATAAGCCATCACTGACTTGATACTAATACACATTTTTAGAAAGCCTACTTTGTGGGCTTTCATATTCCGCTGGGGCATTTATCGAATGCGAAATATGTGCAATGATATTATTACTTAATTGAAGTGATGCAATTATTTACTTATCAAATTATCCATTAAAATACCTATTTACATCGCGAGATGTATCATGAAATTTAGCTATAATACGAAATGCATTTTTCTTAAATTTTCAGTAAAGGTTTCGTTGACGCATAACGTATCGTTACTAAATAATTTGAATTAACGTGCGATCCGTTGCGATAGTTCCGACCGCCCGCCGATGGTGGCGCTGGTGTCGCTCCGGCCGTTATGGCCGCGGCCGCCGCCTATCGTTTTTCGGACGGGATTTCGGCGTTGGTGTGAGCGCCTGAAAAAGTGTGTTCAGGCTCGTGGTGACCAGTTTGAGGAAGCAGTCAGGAGAGATGTTGAACGATAAACATGTCAAATCTTGAAGATGCTGGGTTAAAAAATAAAAAAGTGATGACCAACTGACTGTTACTTATTGAACGACCTAAACGCTGAGTAGGAAGCAGAATACACCAAGAAACCCAAAAAGCTACGAACCAAATCACGAAAACATTGAGACAAAGCCAGTAGCCACCTCGTCACACTTAGTGACTGAGCGTGAGACAAAGCGCACCGCCCGCCGATAGACGTTCAACTTACACCTAGCAGTGATGCCTGTGTAGATCCATGGAACGGAAACAAATATAACGGTAAGTTAGCCACATAAGCAAATCGCAAAAAACAACGTATGAAAAAAGCAGTGGATGTAACATTTTTCTTGCTTACATAGCTGGCCCTGAGATTATTTCGCTATTTCCGGCTAACTGCACTGCGCAGCCTATAGTGTTCTCACAGCGAAGAGACTACCAAAGAGCGGCGCCGCAGCGGCCAGCCAGCTGCGGCGCCCGATTGGGGGGAGGGAACTGGGCGGCGCTGACTGGGCGGCGGAGCGCTGACGCACCTGGTCGGCGCTGATTTGGGGGGAGGGGGGCTGACTGGGCGGCGGAGCGCTGACGCACCTGGTCGGCGCCCGACTGGGGGGAGGGGCGCTGACTGGGCGGCGGAGCGCTGACGCACCTGGTCGGCGCTGATTTGGGGGGAGGGGGCTGACTGGGCGGCGGAGCGCTGACGCACCTGGTCGGCGCTGATTTGGGGGGAGGGGGGCTGACTGGGCGGCGGAGCGCTGACGCACCTGGTCGGCGCTGATTTGAGGGGAGGGGGGCTGACTGGGCGGCGGAGCGCTGACGCACCTGGTCGGCGGGGGGAGGGGCGCTGACTGGGCGGCGGAGCGCTGACGCACCTGGTCGGCGCTGATTTGGGGGAGGGGGGCTGACTGGGCGGCGGAGCGCTGACGCACCTGGTCGGCGGGGGGAGGGGGGCTGACTGGGCGGCGGAGCGCTGACGCACCTGGTCGGCGCTGATTTGGGGGGAGGGGGCTGACTGGGCGGCGGAGCGCTGACGTACCTGGTCGGCGGGGGAGGGGTGCTGACTGGGCGGCGGAGCGCTGACGCACCTGGTCGGCGATTGGGGGGAGGGGAGGGGGGCTGACTGGGCGGGGAGGGGCGCTGACGGGGCGGCGGAGCGCTGACGCACCTGGTCGGCGCTGATTTGAGGGGAGGGGGGCTGACTGGGCGGCGGAGCGCTGACGCACCTGGTCGGCGGGGGGAGGGGGGCTGACTGGGCGGCGGAGCGCTGACGCACCTGGTCGGCGCTGATTTGGGGGGAGGGGCGCTGACTGGGCGGCGGAGCGCTGACGCACCTGGTCGGCGCTGATTTGAGGGGAGGGGGGCTGACTGGGCGGCGGAGCGCTGACGCACCTGGTCGGCGGGGGGAGGGGGGCTGACTGGGCGGCGGAGCGCTGACGCACCTGGTCGGCGCTGATTTGGGGAGGGGGCTGACTGGGAGGCGGAGCGCTGACGCACCTGGTCGGCGGGGGGAGGGGCGCTGACTGGGCGGCGGAGCGCTGACGCACCTGGTCGGCGCTGATTTGGGGGGAGGGGGCTGACTGGGCGGCGGAGCGCTGACGCACCTGGTCGGCGGGGGGAGGGGGCTGACTGGGCGGCGGAGCGCTGACGCACCTGGTCGGCGCTGATTTGGGGGGAGGGGGCTGACTGGGCGGTGGAGCGCTGACGCACCTGGTCGGCGCTGATTTGGGGGAGGGGGGCTGACTGGGCGGCGGAGCGCTGACGCACCTGGTCGGCGGGGGGAGGGGGCTGACTGGGCGGCGGAGCGCTGACGCACCTGGTCGGCGCTGATTTGAGGGGAGGGGGCTGACTGGGCGGCGGAGCGCTGACGCACCTGGTCGGCGGGGGGAGGGGCGCTGACTGGGCGGCGGAGCGCTGACGCACCTGGTCGGCGCTGATTTGGGGGAGGGGGGCTGTCTGGGCGGCGGAGCGCTGACGCACCTGGTCGGCGGGGGGGAGGGGGGCTGACTGGGCGGCGGAGCGCTGACGCACCTGGTCGGCGCTGATTTGGGGGGAGGGGGCTGACTGGGCGGCGGAGCGCTGACGCACCTGGTCGGCGGGGGGAGGGGTGCTGACTGGGCGGCGGAGCGCTGACGCACCTGGTCGGCGATTGGGGGAGGGGAGGGGGGCTGACTGGGCGGCGGAGCGCTGACGCACCTGGTCGGCGGGGGAGGGGGCTGACTGGGCGGCGGAGCGCTGATTTGGGGGAGGGGGGCTGACTGGGCGGCGGAGCGCTGACGCACCTGGTCGGCGGGGGGAGGGGCGCTGACGGGGCGACGGATCGCTGACGCACCTGGTCGGCGGGGGGAGGGGGGCTGACTGGGCGGCGGAGCGCTGACACACCTGGTCGGCGGGGGGAGGGGCGCTGACTGGGCGGCGGAGCGCTGATTTGGGGGAGGGGCGCTGACGGGGCGGCGGAGCGCTGACGCACCTGGTCGGCGCCGGCCGTGTCGTCGTCGTCGGAGGAGGAGGAGCGGTCGTCCTCGTCGTCGCAGTGTTCCATCAGGTACTCCTCCTCTGTCTGTGGCATCTGGCGCAGCTCCTCCTGCGTGCGGAACTCCAGCTGCAGCATGGCCGGCGGGAAGAGCACCGAGAGCAGCACCTTGAGGTGAGTGTTGCGCCGCAGGTTGAGGCCGCCCATCCACAGCTCTGCCAGCAGCACCTGGCAGCTCGGGTGCGCCAGCAGACGCTTGTGGTCGGCGGTGACGGCCAGACTGAGGCACGTCTGCCGACTCCAGTTGCGCAGCTCGTAGGTGAGCAGCTGCTGTGCCACGTCCTGGTTATGCTGGTAGACAAAGTCCAGCACGTCCAGCGCTGCGGCAGCGGCAGCCAACACGCGCCCGGTCAGAGCACAGCCACAGCCACCGGGCAGCTGGCCAATCCAACCGCAGCCGCTAACACATTGGTATTGAAGGCCTGATTAAATAATTGGTGGGGTGATTGAGGAGGAATGATTTTTAGTTTAACCCGCGCCGTGCTGGGGGGAGGGCGCTTTTACGCCCCCCCCCCTCCCCCTCAGGTTTTCGATAATATCTGAAAAACAAAGGCGCGTAGCGCTGGCCCATGGGCGGCGCCACCGGGGGGGGGGGACGGGGGGACAGGTCCCCCGCTATCGAAAGTTAGGGGGGTACAGTACCCCCCTATCGGCGAGGCCCGTTCAATAGTTGATAATAATGCATTGTAGAGTTATCCGTCGCATTTAATGCATCGTTGATTAATCAAGGCAGGTTCTGAATAAAGATTGCTGTTGGGATGTATCGCAGGGGGTCCTGGGCATCTGCAAAAGGTGAGGAGCTGTGATGCCTGTAGTGAGGTGATCGGCAGGGCCTCGGGGATTGTGCCCCCCCTTTTTGGGGCGCCAGGCAGGGTTATTATCTCCCCACCCCACTGCCAGACCCCATTGCCGACAAAACCAAGTTTACTGAAATTCCATAGATTTCCATTACTATATGGATATTTTTCATTCCTAATTAGTCAAATTCAAGCATGGCAGTTCTACCACAGGAACCATTTGAAATCTATGTCATTTAACCCCAGTAGGGTAGCCTGGGGCAAGACGCCCCAGATAATTTATTTTGCTACATAACTTTTGTCCCACATCACCTGGAAGGCCAAATTTGTGCTCAATGCGTTCTTTGGACATTTTACTTTAAATTCTACCCCTCAAATTCATTCACTTATGATCGGACTCCCAGCTAGGAAGTGATTTGTGAAGCAACTGCAAATAGGGCGTTTTGCCCCAACCCCAGGGCAAAACGCCCCACGGCCTGGGGCAAGAAGCCCCATACTCTAGATTAAAGATTAAACATGCTAGTTGACTAAATCTTATATGAGAGGTCCGTTAGACCTTGGGAGGCACGGCACTGAAGTTAGCACCTTCCATCCTATCAGGTGTTCAGCTACGACACTATTGTGTGAGCAGTTTTTTCACCTGCCTCAGAAGGCCAAATAATAAGTTATTGCAATGCAAATGTTAACAAAATACTTCCTTTGCCATCCAGTTGCTGAGAAAAGTACATATAAATGCATAGAAACATGCCGTTCGCCAGCTACCGAGCATTAGGAAGTGGGTAGTCCGAACAACACATGAGGTAAAACGCCCCATGGGGCTTTTTGCCCCGCGACCTACTGGGGCGTTTTACCCCATCACGTAGTACGGTCAGAGAACAACGCCTTGCACTCCAGGAAGACATAATTTAACACGAACCAACCCGGCATTATAAGCGTTAGACAATAGTCGTTCAAAATACATAAAAGTCGTTAACCTGATGTGGACGATAAAAGAACGCCATGATGCATAATCTGACAACAAAACATAAAAATCACTCCAAAAACACATTTTTGGCATTATCTCCCTAAAGCGTCATCACAATTTCTTTCCAGTCTGCTCATATACTGATCGTATAGTGCACGTTTTATAGAAGAGAGGATGTTTCCCCAGAACCTTGCCAGTTCCGAGAAACATCGGTGAGGCGTTTTACCTCGGCGGGGCGACTTGCCCCGGTCTACCCTACTTGTGGGGAGAAGTGTTCGGATAGATCACAGGCAGGACCAAAAAAGCACGCAGTAGCCCAAGACCACTGCCTACATACGGCCTTGCCCAAGACCTTATAATTGGGTAGCATCGGCTCCCTCTCGTCAAGGGGTTCGATAGCACTCGTTTATTCTGCAAAACTAAGTTCGGTCGGCGGCCGAACGGCTGGGGGTCTAATCGACCTCCCCCTCTCCCCTTCTTACGTCAGCGCCGCCGAACGGCTGGGGGTCTAATCGACCTCCCCCTCTCCCCTTCTTACGTCAGCGCCGCCGATTCAGCGGCTGTGAAAATGCCATTACTAGCTCTGTTGAAACATGGCAGTTGCTTTTGCATGAGTGCACGAAAGGGTTTTAGGTACGTGATACGTGAAAGGTTCTACATGAAAATTAAGATACACCAGCTTATCAAATTGTGCTCACTGTGGTGCGCTTGGTTTTACCTTGACTAGTCTTTGAATTCTGGGGTGAAACAGACCAGACAAGAAACCTGTTCCATAAGGAGAGCCACTAATGCTAAAGAGATGAGGGATGAGGTTTCCAGAGACCTTCATTACCTCCCAAAGGGGGTGCCCCGCCATTTGCCAATCCCTGCTGTACAGGGTGTCTCAAAAGTTCGTTGACAGGTACCAGCCATGCTTTTTTGTCAATAATTCTGAATCAACAATAAATAAACAGTCGAAATTTTGCATGGGCATTGGTAACAACCTTCCTCAAGCAGTGTCATTGTTTTCAAACGCATTCGACCCTTCATGAGCTCACAAAAAGGGTTCATCTCTGACCATGGGTCAAGCATGAAAATGGAGGTCGCAAAATCGGGTCGGCTGAGAAACTCTCTGTTTCAGGAATAATGAGAATGGTTAAGTCGGAAATGACACATGGCAAAGTGTCGTCGAGGATGAGTACAACATGATGATCATCTAATAAAAACGGTGGCTAGAATTTTTGAAGGACAAAACCATGCAAGACTAACAGCGTTTTGAACGACCCTCGTACGGCAGCAGACTCGTGCTCCGGAAAGCAGCTGAAAATGAAGGCATAACTATTGAAAACTGACAAGAAGCTTACAGATAGAGGTTACCCAGTTTCAAAAATTGCAGGTCATCGTAAAATATGTAAAGACAAAGTATCATTTGAAATTGTTTATAATATCTAGAACGCTAAATTTTTGGGGAAAATAATACGAAAATCATCAATACCAAGGACAACTGACCCTCCAAAAGTGTCAATTAATGTAAAGTTTTATCTTGCAAAGTTTCAAGAGGCAGATCTGGAGCAAATAGCTTTCTTTTACACACAAAATCCGGACAAAACCGCACGATGGACAGGTCTTGGCCGTTTACATAGCAGAACCTCTCCTGAGGAAAACACTCCGGAACCCAGCGAAGGTCTTGGCATGGGGAATGACGAGCGTTTGGGTTTTGCAAAATTTGCAAAATGTGTCTAAGAAACAGATGGCCGACACATTCTTCTACGATATGCTGCGAAAAAATTTCCCCTGGCACTTCCCATTTGTTCAGGAATGGGGTTGTTTTGAAAAGGAAAATGGTGCTTGGGAGGTCGGCGCCAGTCATTCATGAAGGAGTTAGCGCCAGAGAAGACCTACAAAATACTCACGGATGGTGTCGATGCACGCTGTCGGCTTTCAGGGAGAAGCGGATGTTGCCAGGGAGCTCGTCAAACCTAATTCCGACGCTGAAACTGCAGGTGATTCCCTTACAAGAGCTTGAAAGCTGGGAACCTTTTATCAGCCTCCGGCAGCTGAACGAGCGACGAAAATCGGTATGGGCAAATATTTTTGGAGATACAGCAAAGGGTTTGATTTCCAACCTCCCGAATCAGTTGTCAAAGCATGCATATTTGTCTAGTGTGCACACAGACACAAAAACCTTAGTTTTTTAGCCGGTTCTTATATGCTTTATGGGCATGGGAAATGTGTATGCGAACTTTTGAGACACCCTGTAGTTGTTACGATTGGAGGGTGAATATGAGAACGACTGCAGGTCGTGCCAGTTCGATCATGACGAACACAATGGTGCTGACATCACAGCTCTACTGCCATTTTTGACGAAGTTAATCAACAAAGACCGGAATCCTACCCTGGGGCATTTCACCAGCAGAGGTCGCCGGACCTGAGACCCTTTAACTCATTTTTTTTTCAACGGTGCAGCGCTCGTTTTTCCCGCGAAGCTCTTGGTAAGCAAAATCCATCAGAAAGTGTGATCAAATAACGGCTGGTGACCTTCCATCACCTAGCATGACCTTTTGAGTGACCACCGATGACATGACCACTGACGGCTAGCCATTAGCTGCACCCTGCCCGTTGCATATGGATCAGGTGGTGATGTCATGATTCTGAAATTATATAGCAGTTTTGGCGCACTTGTCAGAGCAGAAGACATTCCCACTTTTCTTCCATGACTATGTTCCCAAATAAGTTCCAAAATTATATCTCACTTCCAAAGTTATCTATTCATTTTCGAAAATCCATAAACGTTTCACAGAATTCCTTTTGTCTAGTCTCTTCTTTTGTCACCGTTCCCCCAAGCCCGTATTCGGAAAAATAATAGCTCGAGAGATAAGCACGAATAATACCGGTCCGAGATACCTCTGATTTGTTTCCCTCTTAACAGCTTAATAACGTTTCAACCCTTGGCCACCACATACACATTACACAACTATATGATGGTGAAGCCATGAAGCTGACCAGAGATAAGATCGAAAATTTGGAAGTACGAAACGTAAGAATAGTTGGCACTGCTACTCAATTCATACCTAAGCAATTCGCAGCTTGTAGGAAACCAGCTTTGAGTTGGCAAGACTGCAAATTTTGATTTAGAGGCAAGGATGCTTGAAAAGGTGAACGATCTTAGGTGTCCTAGGATAAGTTTGGAAACGGGATGCACCATTCGATGTGTTTTGGGCTTTGCCAAGATTCGCGGCGTTACCGTTTTTTGACACACCTGTTCATACATCTTTTTCGCACATTACTGTTAAAATTTCAGACCCGGATCGTTCAAGGTCAGGTCGCCAGGTCACGTCTAGTGAACTTACCTCAAAAAAGTTGCAATGCTCGCTATAAGCTACAACGACTGGATGATCGATATGGGACATTCAGCAATTGATAAAAATGACAGTATGCATAAAATGTATATCTCGGGACTCGGAATTGTGATTTCTGTGACCTACAGTCAAAGGCCTGTTTCACGAACAAATTGAGTTTGCAAATACAAAGAAAAACTTGAGTTTTAAAGAAATAATTACCAACATTTTAGATTTGGATT